CGCTAAGGCAGTGACTTGGTGGTTGGTACTCCGCCGGTATCATAACCGCTTCACCCCTGGTTCTTTTATGGTTGGTTCACGAGCTTCGTGCCAGTCGTACTGTAGAGGCTCCGTCCTCTATCGACTACTATTTCTTCTTCTTCGTCGTCGACGCCGCATCGTTTGGGTGCCGATGAAATCACGGAGAAGTGTTGATTGTCTCGTGATTGCGCATTGCGTCGAGATTGGGGGGCGGGTTAAGAGGGAACGAAGTTGAAGGATTTATTGAGGAACGATTCAGACCAGGGAGCTGACCGTTAACGAACATTTTCCCGTCTTCTTGAAACTGCGACGGGCCCTGCATTTTCATGCAGTGCTTGGCAACACCAAATAGACAGTGGTGCTGTGTCTCGGTATTATTCTTAGGAACTCTTCTTGAACCTTTCATATAGATCGTGGATCCGTTCAACTTGATTGAAGCGAGTCTAAGCGTATAATTCGTGGATGCCGATAACGCAAGCGAGTGCCCGAGTAGGATAGTCTCGTTCTATACCTTCGTAGTTAGTGAGACAGTCAAAGAGAGGAAGTCTTAACCTAGGCAGAGATCACAACCCCCGTAAGAGGGATCTAGTTCTCCTAGTTCCACGGCTCGCCATGAGACCAAGGTAGGGGTAGCATTTGATCGCTTTCATACGAAATATTTCGAGGAGCCAAAACTGAGAAAGCCTTACTATCTCTTCATGGCCTCGCGATGTTCAACCATAGCTACAGGAGGTAGGTTAGGATCTATGCCGCCATTGCAATAGATTACCCCTTGTTGGGATTATCTCCTGACTTAAGAGGAAGCCCTGGACTCTCCCACCTTGAAGATGGATTGTTTGAAAGCGTCCTAGTGGATTCGCCTTATACATAAGTGTATACGGGCTTTACTCCCATTTCAATGTGGTATACTTGTGGTCCTGCAGATTGCCACGGCGAGTATGGGCGGAGTACTGTGTCAGGATAAGGAATATCTCTCCACTTTCCGAAACGAAGAATCGGACCTCGTCGAGGTATTCTATGTTCTCTCTGTGCCAGTCGGCGACAGAGTGTTCATTGTCTTCGGAGTATTCTTGCGTTCTTGGGCATTTGGTTTGTCGTTGTTAGCGTGTGGGCGCGTCGTTGGTATAGAAGACGGTCGAATAATAGGTGTCTCGTAGGAATAGACTAGGTGATTGGGGTTATGTGAGTTTCTTTCTAGTTAAATATTGGGATTGAGGAGTAGTAATACTTACCTACTGATGGCTTCAGGGGAAGGGTTTAGTGCTTAAGTGCTTTTTGTAAAGGGCTAGGAGGAGGTATGCCCTAACGCACAATTCAACGGAACAGGGGGAGAAGTTATAGGACGTAGGCTTCTCGTGTAAGTCGGCCGCCCTGTAGTCCGCCTTTGCGAACTGATGGAGAAGGGATAAGAAGAATGAGGGATGATGGGAAGGATAGGACATTCAGAAGGGTTAAATAACTGACGAACGGAGAGATAGATTAGCTCCGAGCTAGAAAAGGGCTATTGCATCCAAATAACAAGACCTAAGCTAGAGGAAGGAGTTATGAGTACATAGAGCAGCTGATAATAGGTTTCTCATGAGAAAGGATTAGTCGAGTGGACTTTCTTAAATTAAAGGTACATCACCTACCTTATTTATACTAAAGCGGAGGTACCAAAGAGCCCAGTAGGTAAGCCATTAGATACCTAAAATACATATGCATGTGTGCGTAACGTAGCTCTCGGTGTATCCTATGCCAGAATGAGGAATACATGCATCCCCAGGTATAGGGAGCTCATGCTAGTGCGTACAGTCACAATAGTTGTATTATACCTTACAGTTTGATTCCCTGTGAGTTTAGCTTAATAGGAGATATTCAAGTTATCTTTCGCTTTACTGTAGAAAATAGGCTTGTCTACCCTTGGTTCCCTTCTGGCCGGGTTGGGACAGTCATTATATATACCTCACCCAATTAAAACAGCTACAACATTAAGACGAAGGATTCATTGTGAGTCCGGGTCCAGCTAGCTCAGGGACTAGTATGTACGTTGGTATATGACTCGCACCGAATACACCTTAATAAGGGGGTAATTGGCTGTATAAGTGTGAATGAGGTAAGTAGGGTAACAAAGCAGTTTCCTGATTTAATATGCTCAAGACACAAAACTTTTAACGTTACAACCAGGTGTGACTAACTCGATTGGTTAAATGATGTTGATTCCATTGCTCCGCTACGAAGCCACGATCCCCATACATTATTCCCACTGTTTCTCATACCTAAATCCATTGCTTGTTCCCAAAGTGCGAGACAAACGACCCTCCATCACCACGTTCAACGCTTGCATTGTTGATGACGTTAAGGATAGACTTAACTGACTCATCCGGCATAATTGGCCCTTTGAAGTGCGGCGCATATTCTCCGAACTTACGCATCATCTTCTCAAGACTCTGGAGTTCTTTTGGAGATACTATCCCCAGAAACCATATCAGCAAGCGTTCGAAGGTAAGAAAAGGAGAAAGAACTATTCTTAATACAATGGATCAATGGGAACAGAGACTTACAACCTGCAGTATCATTATGCCCCGATGTCTCTACTACACCAGGACAGATACTCATGAATAAGATTCCCTGGCTGCGGAATTCGGCGTCATACTTGGCAACGGCGAAATTCATTGCTACCTTGCTCAACGCGTACGGCGCGGCCATATCGAGCTCGAAGTCGCGAACCAAATCAACGTCCGCCATACCCGACGAGATCGCAATGACCTTCTTGGCTTTACCCTTCCGGATAAGTGGAATAAATAAGTTGAAGAGGTGGATGTTTCCGACAACGTTAGTCTTGTACGACATGAGCAGTTCCTCTTCCAGGGTTTTGGGATCGTCACTCCTATATCGCAGAGATAGGTCAGTTTCGGCAGCTCTCAGTGTAGGAATACAGTGAGAACGATATTGGAAGAAGAAGAGCAAAAGAAGAGAAACGTACAGATCGTGAAGGGTCTTCAAATGCGAGCGCTTGGAGAGAAAAGCACCGTTCGCAATGAGGTAATCCAGACTACCACCCGTAATCTTAGACGTGTCTTCGACCGCTTTCTATATACAGTTAGCTGCCGTTTACAAATAAAAGTCAGATGATTACCATACCTTTAGGGATTCGTAGTCTATCAAGTCTCCATGGAGGATATGGATATTGGGACGACCGATCTCAGCAGCTACTTTCTTCTCGGTAGCAGCCTTGTCTCGAGCAAGCCCGATAACAACCGCTGATGGATCTGCTGAAAGCTGACGAAGAAACTCAAACTATGATTCTATGGTTTAGTATCTCTTCCAACGCATTAGTCAACTGGAGACTTACGCCGATTCCTCGGGATACACCTGTTACTACGTAAGAAGACATTTTAGGTAGCGTTGCTTGATTCGGAGAAGGTTTATAGTAAAAAGAGGTAGGTAAAATAAAGGTTCAGTGACAATTCTCTTGATGGTTCACTTGCTAGCTAGTCTCCTTTTCACGACAGAGAGGCAGGTCTTTATATACAGGACGAATGTCATCTTGCCTACGTGCCTAGTTTATAATCGCCTACTCAATTCATACTATTGTCACCTCGTACCGTAATTCGGGTTCCCAGCCGTTTTGCGGTCATCAGCCAATTTCGTCCGCCCGGCGGACTAGATTGGAAATCAAGGGTTAGTAAGCTTCTAATGAACATTGCGATCCCGATTGTTGTATACCCGGGTTAGTATATCACTACTCTCGTTGGTCTTATCCCGCCAGGCACCTAGCCTAGCATCTCACATCATGCGTCTTACGAGCATGGTGTCATAGGGAAGGCGGAGTGATTATTGACGTGTGGTCCGAGGCTGTCATGCGCGGTATGGGTATCCAGTTTTAGGTATAAAAGGATTCTTCATCCTCCGGTATTACTGTAATTAACCCGTTGTGGCTAGGACCAAGTCAAACACCTTCAAAGAGCCCAAGAAACTACGGGTTAGCTTTTTCCTCCTGAAGCATCTTTGAGGTATGCGATAATTCGAAAATATTACTAGAATTGGTTGATGACCTAGGATATGCCAAGGCGCATGGAGATAGCTTATATCCTTTAGCGTACACGATCCCGAGAAATGGAAGAAATATGGATCCATCGAGATTCGATCGAACAAGATCCTAGGACACATACTACGGTGGGCCATTCCACAGTACTATAGGAACCGCATGCCTACGAGATAATTACTAATTACATGTAGTAGAATTGATGCGCGCGTTGAGTTATCGAGTCCGTATCAAAGGCTGGTATGGCGACGGGTCTCACCTGCGAGTTTAAAGCCGCTTCATTTAGTTGGTTCATGTCAAGAGGCCCGGCTATATTTCAGATCATCACCTATGAGTTTAGCTTCTATGCACCTCCCAATTGTATTTCCTGGCAAGAAGTCTATTAGGATGAAAGGTGCACCAATAGGAATTTGCTCGTTGACTTCAAATGCAAACAGCTTGGGTATTGGAAGATGAGATCTCTCCTTGATTAATTGCATATTATCTATCTTACTGCGTAACCTTGCTAAGTCGCTAGGAGACCTGCGCAAACTGATCCGAAAACTGTAATTAATAGATGAACGTGGTTGTGTAATTCATTGGCGGTTTTATCGAGTAATGCGTAGGGTAGCCCACTATTTAGGCTTGAGGCAAAGATTATCCCAATTTACCTATGAGATAACATCTTATGCAGTGTTTTGGAACAGCACTTGGCTATGTTCCAGTTGAGTGCACCAATAGGCGGTGGTTCCGAGTCGCGGTGTTGAATGACCGCTAAAGCGAGTGGTGGCCGCCCAGCATGCCTCCGCCCTAGCCATAACGTAAAGCCGATAGATTATTTCAACTAAGACGAAAAGATTAGAGAGGCCGGCGAATTTGAACTTTCCCTTTTCTAGAAAATAGAAAAAAAAAATAAACGAAAAAGAAAACACCGTAGTTATTCTAAACTGCAGCTGTAAATATTCCAAAAAAGCTCTCGATCGGGGAATCGAACCCCGGCCACCTGCGCATTGTGCATGACAAGCAGGTATCCTGACCACTAGACCAATCGAGACGTTTATAATGTTCTGAGAACACTGATTTGCTAGCTCTGTGATAGGATTCACGTGTCCGACTGTTCGAAAATGAGGACTATATTTTACTCGGTGTTTTTGGAATTCGGACTAGTGATTACCAGAAATTTCCATTGTCTCCGCAAAGGTATCAGCTGACCAATTATAGTTGGTTTTAGGAGAGCCTTAGCGGTGAGTCCGGTATAAGCCGGCGCTAGATCTAAGAAGCAGCAATAGCGCATCGTGGGGTGCCACCTGGCATTCAGCTAGTCGTCGGCCTGACGATATATGAACCCTGGGGCCATTTAAGGTTACACCGTTTTTCGATCAGGTCGAGAAAGCTTTTCCCCAGGAAACTTAGAGCCACTACCGTCAGACCTTCCTAGTCTCATGCAACGGTTCACATTCCATTACGTAGACCTAAAATTCTGGTTTTAAAATGCATCATACCAAGATATAGAAACCCAATCCTTTTACTCAGTTCTTTTTGGCTTCAATGTAGAACAATTTCACGTACATTTACAATTGCATAGGTACACTTACATACATCGCGCCTAGACCTGTTTTAACCCCGTTTTATATATCGTCATCATGGCCGACCCACGGATATCAGACCAGTCGGAACATGTAGCCCAAGTGGTATCGGGACATCTACCCTCAGGATACTCGGCTGCATTTGACGGAGAACCCATCAATTATGGTGCTACCTCGTCTCCTAGTCCGGATCAGTCAGAACAGGGCGAATCCTCGCTGAAATTGCAGGGTGGCGATATGCATCGGGACCTGTTCAAGACGGCCGAACGGGCCAGGATGCACAAACGAGCAGCGACCTTCCACCACCCTCCGGACGCAACAGGCGACAATGAGGCCGAGGTCTTAACTGTTAGTGAGCAATTGGCCCCGGGAGGATTCCGCAGGGCTTTTATACAGCAGAGGCAACAACAGCGCGAGAGCTGGGCTGCAAGGATGCCCGTCACTAGAAATTTCGTTGAGTTCTTAGAATTGTACGGCAGCTTCGCCGGAGAGGATCTTGCCGACTCCGACGACGAAGCAGTGCTATCTGAAGAGGGCGAGGAGGAGGAAGAGCCACCACGGGAAACGAGACCGCTGCTTGGGCGTCGTAAGAGTTCGCGTGCTTCACGAGCTGGTAAGGCCACCACCAAGCAGACCTTCTTCACTTTATTAAAGGCCTTCATTGGAACTGGAATCATGTTTCTGCCAAAAGCTTTTAATAATGGTGGCATTTTATTCTCCTCCATGACGATGCTGGTCATCTCAACAGTCACCATGCTGGCATTCCATCTGCTCCTTGCCTGTAAAGCACGGTATGGCGGCGGTTATGGAGAGATAGGCGAAGCGATCGCTGGAAATAGAATGCGCGGGCTGATATTGAGTTCCATCACTCTGTCGCAATTGGGATTCGTCTGCGCTGGCATAGTGTTTGTGGCTGAGAACATAACATCGTTCCTCCAAGCTGTTGGACATGGCACCAGTCTCTTCTCACCGACGACTTTAATTCTCATGCAGCTCATTGTTTTAATCCCTCTATCGTTCATTCGGAACATAGCTAAGCTAGGTCCCGTCGCACTCCTCGCAGACTCCTGCATTTTACTTGGCGTCGGTTACATCTATTACTTTGACATTGCTCATCTTGCGTCGGAAGGCATTCACAAGAGCGTCGTTCTCTTCAACCCGGCCAAATACACATTGACCATCGGAGCGGCGATCTTCACATTCGAAGGTATTGGATTGATTCTCCCGATCCAATCCTCGATGACGAAACCGCATCGATTCGAGTGGCTCCTCGGTACTGTCATGCTCATCATCACGGTCTTATTCACCGCTGTCGGCGCCCTCTGCTACGCCACATTTGGCGAAAACACCCAGATTGAGATCATCAACAACTATCCCCAAGACAGCAAGTTTGTCAATGCAGTCCAGTTCCTCTATTCGCTAGCAGTTCTCGTCGGAACGCCCGTGCAGCTGTTCCCCGCCATTCGTATTATCGAGGGTAAAATCTTCGGATCTCATTCGGGGAAGAAGAGCGCCCGCACAAAGTGGATTAAGAACGCATTCAGGACTCTCATAGTCATTTTTTGCGGCGCGATTTCAATTCTGGGTGCTTCCAACCTCGACAGATTCGTTGCTTTGATCGGATCCTTCGCTTGCGTTCCTCTCGTCTACATCTACCCAGCATATCTGCATTACAAAGGCGTCGCATCATCTTGGCCGGCCAAAGCCGGGGATATCTTGTTTATGGTGGTTGGCATCGTTGCCATGGTTTACACGACGATTATCACTATCATCAATAGCTTTATGAGCTAAGCATTCGTTTATCAACACACACATACTACGCATTAGCGGCCGGAAGAGAAAATAAAAGAAATGGCATTCACATGGACACCGGGGTTAAAACTGGAGTTATCAATTTATGTAGCAGCGCATCGATTTTGGGCAGCCGCATCACGATCATTCAGGCTTACGTAATTTGCCCATGAGGTTTTTTTACAGCGGAGTATGGAAAGAAACAATGTATAATAGGCGACCAGCATTGAAATCGGGAACTTGAGAATTGAGCTATCTGCTATTCTATATAATTGCTAACGACATTTTAGCCCTACAGGGTGTTGTGCTTATACTACTAGCGACCTATCGCGACCTGCTTGACGGATACTTGCACGATCGCGTGTTACCGCAACCCACCGCGACCTATGGTAACAAGCACCTTGGTGTATCACAACTTTGGCTTTGTAACCAAAATAACAACGGCCTGTACTAGAAATCAACCAATATGATTTATACAATTTCAGGAAGTTCTAATACTTTCAATCCCGGAGATCGTTTACTGTCAATATTACCACATAAGTGCCCAAAAGATAGCATAGAGAACTTGCTGAATCAACGCCACATTTTTATTTACACAAGGGGCACGCTTCAAGAGTCGCGACCCAGCGTAATCACCGACCTATACGTGCCACACATCAACATCAATCCCTTGGCAAGTCAGAGTCAACGCATCAAAAAAGATTCCTAAGGAATCTGTATTATGAGTCATGCCGATATAAGAATCTTTGGAATCATAGAGGACGGAAAGCGTGTTTCGCGTATTAACACAAGAGCAAGTTACGCCGCCCCTTGTTGCTCAGTTCATTAGAATAGCTTCAGCGGTGTCGTCATTTGGCAACTACGCTCGTTCCTACGTCCGTTTTGGGAAAACGGTGGCTGATGACGGGCATATGCGGACAAGGGAGTGACAAATCTCCTTTCCTCTTTGGGACTCGGCGGATGTGCTAGAGCGGCTGCTACTGACAGCTCTTCCAGGGGTTAAGGTGAGGAACCCTACTATGAGGCAAGCGTGTAAGCTGGTAGGTAAATACGATGGATGGACGATCTATATAAGACGATTTTTTTTTATATAAAATGGCATCTTGTCTTCTAGTAAGTCGAGAACATCAAGTCCTTTCTATCCCACCTCTCTAAGAATCGTCCTATCCATACCTCTATTCCTCTTCCTCAACAACACCCAGAAGCAAAGATGTCTCTGCAGACTCAACTCGAAGCCGTCACGGCGCAATTCAAAAACGCACCCGCCGAACTCAAGGACCCTATCAACAAGGCGAGAGAAGACTTCGCAAAGACCTTCGACGTGAGCAGCGCCATCCAGCCGGGGCAAAAGCTGCCCGAATTCGAGCTCCCGGACTCCCTGAACAGGACGGTCCGCAGCGCGGATCTGCTGGCCCGGGGCCCGCTGCTGATCACGTTCTACCGCGGGCAGTGGTGTCCGTTCTGCAACCTGGCGCTGCACGCGCTGCAGGCCAAGCTCGCCGACTTCAAGGCCAAGGGCGTCACGCTCGTCGCCGTCACGCCCGAGCTCCCGGACACGTCCCTGACGACGGCCGAGAAGCAGAAGCTGGAGTACCCCGTGCTGTCGGACGTGGGGAATAAGTACGCGCGACAGTTGGGGATCGTGTTCAAGCAGCCGGATTCGCTCCGCCCCGTGTTCGAGAAGATTGGAAATGACCTGGTGAAGAGTAATGGCGACGACTCGTTCGAGGTCCCGGTCCCGGCTACGCTGCTTGTTGATCGGGATGGGGTTGTGAGGAAGACTTTTGTTGACCCTGATTATACGAAGAGGCTCGAGCCGGGCGTTGCGTTGGAGTGGATCAATTCTCTTTAGATCAATCTAGGAAGCTAGGAAACGTGTGAGCGGGAGGATCCTGTGTCTAGGTTTCGCATGTACTTACATTGAGGCCCAGGTAGCCCAGGAATCACTCAGCATCTAAGAATCTGTATTCATCCTTTTACAACTGAGTGCTGTATCACTATGGCGCATATACGTGACTTGAGACCGTGGCATATTGTGAACGACGACTCAGCTTATTACTCATGTCTGGTCTCATCGTTCGTATGCTGGCGGTAGTGATATCTAAGTAAATTCGAGTACCATTTCCCCAGCCGAACTAAGGACGGACGGGGAAAAGCAGTCGAATTCGCTCTGTGAGGTGTTAGCATTACTCAATCTCGTTCTCTTTAGCCTCGCGTTGAAACATAGTGGCGCAAATTTGAAGACTATCCATCGCAAGGCGTAAAGTCTCATGGGCAATGCACTAAGTGTCGAATACATCCAAGACGGAACGAATGAATTCACGAAGTGCAGCACCAAGAGCCGATATATTGTCAAACCAAGGGATGTGTGAACCCCCGGTATTGAGGTGTCTGTATTATGATGACATCGTACGTGTCGCATGTATATGCTAATCCCTGATGATGGTATGCCGCCCTGCTAGCCTTTTTAAATTCCAGTTTTATCAATGCCGACCACCTTTCCTATAAACCTAATGCTCATGCCATGCTCAAGCTGCCAGTATGATTAAAAGAAAAAAAGAAAAATAGACCAGATAATCCTCATCAAGCTTCGGGTATAATCCAGATCAACTCGACTTCACAGAAGCCAGCATAGAAAACTGTCCTCCTACACCCGCCCACACAAGCTTCTCTCCAC